TATATATACAGTATATTTGGCAAACTTAGCAAAATCATAAAAAAAACCTAAGGAATGTTTAAATGTTGCCTTTTTTGTGTTAACAAAATATATTTGAAGATACTTCTTATTGTAAAACAAACACAATTTAGGTATCTTTAAAATGTACTTTGAGGTTCTCTGTGACAGATTCAATTATTACTTAAAATGTTTATTATTTTACAATGAGAGTGCTTAACGATGTCTTCAATCATTTCCTATGTTTACATGCAAAACAGTTCTGAGAAAGTCCGTTCAGAGTTACAGATGGCTTGGAGCTTTTCTCCAAACAGAGACTAAAATAAGGGAACAAGGAGTCAGGGTTTTTCCTATTCGAACAACCAAAGTCAAGGTAAAATGTGGACAGAGTTGCTAAGTTTCCGACAATATAAAGCTACTGTAAACACGTCTGCGCCTCATTGTGATGCTCAAAAATACAAAGAAAAAGTGGTGGTGTAGTAGTGTTGTGAATTATTAGACACATCAGAGGAGTCCAGGAAAGTAAATAATTTAAAGCAGGGGTATCAAACACACACACGGCCACATGAGCATTATGGTGGTCCTCAAAGGACCAGTTGTAATTAACTTTAACGTTTCATGTTTAACTTCAACTAAACAAAAATCATCATGTTCCTCGTCTCATCGCCACAGCTGAGCACTGCTGACAAACAATAACTGAGCTCTACATGGTATTTCCTGCATAGAAACAATAATTTACCATGTCCTCTTATAAACACTGAAAAGTACTACATGTATGACTGACTAAATGTGAAAAAATAATACAGAAATACTATTTAGAATAACAGTAAGAGTTTTTCTCCCTGTTGAGTTGTGGTAAGTAGCTGCCATCTTGAATTCTCCCATTTTCCACTTTGAGGGATGGGATGAGCTGAATTTAACCAGAAAAAAGTGCAACCTTGGACTTCATGTCTGCTCCAAACATTTTATTAAAGGTAAAAGACCAACACTAGACCACCCAGATCCTATCTCTGAACTCTCTGTCAATAAACAGGTACAGTAAACCTTATTTTTACTGTAGCCTACTGCTAGCTTTACTCGTAGCACGATAGCCTCTCTACCGCAGTCAGTCACACATAGTAATAGTGTTATACTTACACAAATTCTAAACATCACCATCAAATTTATTTAAACAATGCAGAAGCGGTAGCTCAAGTGATAAAAATACACACCCAAATGATAGATGTTATGTTTTATAGCTTATGTCTAAGCTATAAAAGATTGGTAAAAACATAAACTTTCTATCAAAGACCTCGACCCTCCAGCCAACCTTTCAGCTGAACTTTCCTTTGATTCCTGAAGTCAAATGTGTTGAAATTTGCTCTAGGAGCAACTTTTTTCTGTTATGGTATGAACACTGACTCTCTGTAGAATCCACACCAATCGGCTGATCATTTGAGAGAGCGGCAGATAATGTATAGATAATGACGTGATGACTGAAGGTCCCCAGTGAAATGCTAAGGGGGCCACAGTTACGTAAAGCCAACAGCTCAGGGGCAGGACAAGTATTTTTATCTTTCACCTTTTAAATTTGTTTACTTTGTTGCATTAAATCTTAAAGGTTAGCACTGATATAAAAACTATTTTCATATTAAATTAGTAAACTGGCTGGCCGTAGTGTGACACTTGATTTAAAGCAATATTTAGCTATTATGAATTAAACTGCATTGTCTAATTTTAAATCTTGTTTAAAATAAATCCCAAATAAATTTTTAAAAATACCCTATCCACGTAAAAATATTTTACTAACCATTTGACTGATTAGAAGAAATAATTAAAAAACAATTTAAACAGTAACTTCTGGCACCCAGTATGATGTCAGGTTTAAAACGAAGAACAGTCTTTAGGCATTCACATCAGTCACAGAGACATTTAAGATGCTTAAAGGCAGTCAGCTTTTGAACTTGTTGTTTTARAAAATATCTGTTTCCAGAAAAACAAAAGAAATTCAGCTAAGTGATCAGTTGTTTCAGGTACAGCAGGCTGCCTTCTGACAAGTACATTTTTACCATTCCAACAACCTGGGACGCCCAAGTTTGCAGACAACACTTCTCTGAGCTAGCTGGCTAAAAATGCTACACAGAGCAGCTTGTAATTTTTATTTTTTTTTGAATTGCTGACAAAATCTCTGCATGTTGGCGAGTCTATAGTTTATTTTCATTTAAAATTGTTTCACTATCGCTTCGTAGAATCACAATTTCACCCAAAAAAATTTAAGCCATTCACATCATTGAAATGACCTAGTAAGTTCACAGACTGAACCACTCACTTCACGGCAGACGATAAAAAAGGTCGTTAGGACGGAGCAGCGGCACCTACCCTGATCACTTGTGCAGAGTGGGGTGGTACTTCATTCCTCCAGTCAGAGTTCAACTCACAGTCCTGAGGGCAGGACCAGGGAAGTGTTGAGAGAGAGAGAGAGAGAGAGAGAGAGAGAGAGAGAGAGAGAGAGAGAGAGA